GGAATTCCAGCTGGTACCGGTTTCCATTCAGATGAAAAACCGTTGACACACACTCTTTGGTGCCTTCCTGTCAAGAAACTACGAATACTCTGAATTAGAACAGGATGGACATCCAATTCTCTCAGGATATCCAATAAGATGTTATGATCCACTCCATCAAAGCCTTTACTCAAGTCATAAAAACAGAGTCTAATTGCATCGTTTGGGTTGTCGGTATTGGAATATAGAAAGTTCATGAGATCCACCAATGCACAGGTTGTGGACGAACCTTTAACAGATCCGAAATGGCGATCATCCAATTTGGGGCCAACATGATCAAGTAGTAGTGAGTTAAGATGACTCTCATAGACTTTCGCTACTGGTGAGGTAAGTGATATGGGTCTTAAATCATTCTCTATATCAACAACTTTGGTTTTCTTGGGGGCTGGGCAGACATCAGCACTCTTCCATTCAGATGGAAAAAGACCTTCCATTAAACAAGAATTAAAGATATTAGTTAAAGGTGGGGCTAAAATTGTGCTCAAGTTCTTTAACACAATGGTAGGGATAGGTTCAGGACCACAGGACTTCTTGGCATTAAGGTTAAACAGTTTTCGGGACACTTGACAAGTTGATAGCAAGAAATTATCAGGGACTATAAGATCTGGAGGGGTAGGTACTGGTTCCAGGGGCTGATATTCGTCAACAATCCGCAGAAACACACTATTAATTAGTTCTGTTAATTCAACCCCAGTTGCTTCATGACCACCAAATCTTAACTTATCAGGAATCTTGTTTGGTTTCTGCCTAGTTATTGCTTTAACACCCTTCCACCATTTTCTGGGGTTGCAGGACCTTGTGTTATCTAGATTATACCTATAATGATTGCCCATGGCGAGCTTAATCTCTTTAGATACTTTGTTTTGGAAAAAGTTACGAAGTGGGACATTGCCTTTCTTCCAAGCACGTTGACGTTTAACAATGAGGTTCTTGATGTAACTGGTCATCCATGGTTTGTTGTTGGTGTTTAAACGGCAAGGTTTGGTGGGCATAAACTTGTCAAGAGCAGTGATAACTTTATTATAAAACACTGACATCTTATTTACAACAGAGTCAGCTCTGTAAACTTCACACCAGTTCTGTTTCTCCAAGCATAATGATAGCTTATGCAGATTTTCCCGATTTAGCTTCCGCCTATAGATAATCTTGTTCAGTCCCTTAGGAGCAATATAATCCTGGGGGGAAAATAAGATTGAACAATGGTCTGATCTTCCCAACGGAGGGAGTTGCCGAGGTGCCGTGTAAAATTCTGAAATATTTGTTAAAATAAGGTCAAGTGTAACGTCATTACGCGTTGGAAAGTTGACAACTTGTTTTAAATGAAGCTTCCTTTCAATAGATTTTACATTCATACGATTAAAATCACCCATAATAATAACACCGGCATCCGGGTAATGGATCAAATAATTGTCTGTGACTTCTATTATATGCTGTTCAAGTAAATTTGCATCTTTCGTATTATTTGGTCTGTAAACAATTCCTACTAAAATCGATGAAAACCCACGAGGGAGCTTTCTAGGGCGAACTTTGAGCCACATGCTCTCATAATCATCACACTGGTGTTGAGAAATTTGTTGTTGTTGAATATCGGACTTTACCCAGGCACAAATTCCACCTCCTAATCGCCCAACTCGGTCACATCGATAGATATTATAGTCTACCAACGTTACATAATCATCACTAATCGATTCACTTAACCAAGATTCAGTAATTGCAGTAATATCAATCGAATACACTTTCATGATTTCGTCAAGTTCGTCAATTTTACTCATAATAGATCTTGAATTTGAGCACAGAATGTTTGGGAAATCGTACCTGCCTCTTACATTTGAGTTAACTTTCCGCGGAATGCTTGTAAGAGCCCTAGGCCTTCGTTCCGTGTGATTGATTTTGTTTGCTGATCGCCATGTAATACGAACTGGGATTCTAGAGAGTTCTTGTTCATCTTTCTTTCGTCTACCCCCTCTCTTTCCTCTCTGGTGCTTGAAGATATTAAATGCTTTGAGCGGCGAAACAACATTACGGCTAACTTGTAAGGTCTTGGAATGAAGACAAATAAGTTCCGAACGCGAGAACTTCTGATGTGAAGGCATACTTCATTTGGGTCAAATTGTTCGCAAACAAACGCACCACAGAAACTGAACATTGGTTTTAGCCAAACATACAGATCACACATCATCTTATCTTGATATAATTTCTATGATAACTAAGTCATTGCTGTTAAGATTTATAACTTTATCAGGAGAGATATAAACACACAACCGGCAGCCATGACAGGCGCACAACATACGACCACAACTTCTGCAGAAGTAAATGGCAAGATACGACCACAAAATCTGCAGAAGTAAATATGGAGGCACATAAACTAATTAGACTTGACTGCCTACACACGCATGTTTGAAAATATCCTCAAACCAAATTACATCCAAGCACTAACATTGAACAAGACGATCATGTTACTTGGTGATTTAAACTGTGATGTTTGAAATGAGAACAGCCCAGAATACAAAGCATTGGCAAATTTTACTGCAGAAAATGAACCTCAATCGGCTCATAAAATCACAAGTTACAAACAGTACTCAATCCTTCCTAGGCATTTATTAGTACACCGTAGTGGTGTACTAAATACAACATGTGATCACATTCCAGTTTATGTTGAACTGAAGCTGAAATATCCAAGGTATCCTCCACATTACATAATGGTCCGCAGTTACAAGAACTGTTCACCAAGTCTATTCATAACCGACCTTGCTAACAGATCTAATAGCCGGCTATCTATCTTTAACCTCAAAAATGTAAATACAAAGACCTTTAAAACCAAATTATTCATTCTGTGCTTGATACACATGCACTTAGATTGGGATAATTATAAAAATTCTCGGAATGCTGTTAATTAAGAAAATGCTAAAGGATTAGAAAGAAATTACTATTTGGAAGAAGTTCAACAACATAAAAATAACCCAGGCTCTCTTTGGAAAAAAATCAAGCTATTCCATCAAAAACTTAAGAAAAATAACCTATACCAAAGAACCAAAGATAGTTGTAAACGAGTTCAACCAGTTTTTATCATTAAAATTATGGGCTTTGTACATTAAAATTATGGGGCTTTGGTGGCCAAGTGGTTAACGCACTTGCCTTTCACCTCTGAGGCCGCAGGTTTGAGCCTCAGTGAGAATTTCTTAATGCAACTTGAACCAAGTTCTCACACTCTGCTGAAAGTTGTGGGTTTTCCCCGGGTAGTCCAGTTTCCTCCAACAGGGAAAGTTGACAGGGTGGGTTAGGTAAAAAGGAACCACAGTAATTGGCACATTCTGTTGTGGTGACTCTACCTTAGTTGGCAAAGCTAAATAAATAAATAAACAAGAAATGCTTGGATCATCAAATGCCTCCCTGTTATTCTACGACCGCTCCCTACGCACTTCCACATAGTCTACTGCATGAAAGAAAGCTGAAGTGATTCCCTTAGGCAAAGGAGATAATGAAATGAAATGGCATATATCCACACCGGGCAGGCTTGAAAAATATGCCTGGCCATACTGGGAATTGAACCTACAACCTTTGGAATATTAGCCCAATGCTCTGCCAACTGAGCTACGTGATTTTTCAAACCTGTCCGATGTGGATATACACTCAGAGTAACATCACAAGCATCTTATTCACCTGAGTACATTACACTAACACAGCAAATATCACAGTTAATACCTTCTTACTATAACGGTGATTTTCCAGTCCTCGTACGAAGCTCCTCTCAGCTCGCTGCAAGTGTTTGCATCTAATTAAAATTAACTGCTTAGCATTGTGATCATAGACGGATTTTCATATTTTTTACTGGAGTGGTGCCAGAAATTTTAGGGGGGGGTGAGCCGTGACCAGGTGACTGAATTAACACAAAGTGTCACCAAACCCCAGTAAGGTCTATATCCTAGGGGTGGAGCACTAGAACTGCGAGGGGGAGTCTAGAAAGCAGAAAACAAAGTATCCCAGGAAAAATTTGAAAAAAATCATGATTTCTAGCTTCGAAAAAAAGTTTTTTGAAGTTGTCATATCAATGGATTTGGCATGTCCGATTGTCTGTTGAGACTTGAGAGAGTTAAAATTAAATGAACCTGTAAAAGTGTAAACCCAATAGGCCAATACACAATTATATGCTTTTACTTTTATAAAGTCATTGACATTGTGTTGTTTGAATCCAAGTACAATTTATGATGCAACTCCGATGTAAATAATATTTGGGGCATAAAGATTAAATCTAGGCAATACTATTTTAGAGATGCCAGGAGAAGGAATAAGAAAATCTACCAATAGTGGGATTATTTTGCGTTGATTTTACTCCATTATGTTAAGAATTGTGGCGATCACACGTAATTGTATTTTTCTTCGCCCTGGGTCATGTTGTATCAGTTATGGACTAATGGTTACATTGAGCTTCTGTGCTTTAAAAATCCAGCCAATGGCTACAAACTTTTGCTTAACGTTATATACCATATTTGTAAAGTGGCTAACTTGCTTGAAGACTCGAGGCGGGAAATTTCGTTCATCTTTTACAAGGTTTACTTCGGAGTTCGGACTTCTGTTACTCAGTGTTTTAAACTTAAGTTTTTAACAGTCTTTTTAAAGACTATTACTGCAGCAGCATGAGGTCTAAATTTCCATGTAGTGTTTGCGGAACAAAGTCGGCGAATTCGGGTTTTGTAAATCCTGGTTCACATGAAAAGTGCCTTTGTAGGCCCTGTTATGCGCGACAAATATGTGCGTGTTTACAAACTATCGGTGTTCATGTAGAAACAAACTGAATTTACAGCAGTGGCTGGAGGAGGTATGTAGATATGCAATTTTTATTTATTTGCAATCGTTTCTCCATGTATTAAAGTACAAATACCATATATAAAACATTAAGTATAAAAACCTCTATTTTTTGACAGAAACTACTACAAGTAGTCAAAGTTCAAATTCCTACCTCACTGTTTCTGGTTAGTGGTTTATTAATTCAGTTTTAAAATCTAAAAAAAAACATAGTTAATAACCGAATAAACATAGTATTTTAGTACATCCAAGTTTTATGAAGTCTAAACCATGCAGCTTCGACCTCGGTTAGTTTTAACTATGCTCTGAAAGTACAATTATTAATAAGGTCACCTTGACAAACATTGCATCATTATAATAACCAATTTGGGTAAAATATTAATGTAAATTAATTTCTTTTAGGTGCAGAAATAGTTCAAGAGGTTGAAAACCTTCAACAGGCATACTTATCAGAGTATGCTACCCAGAAAGATGCACTTCCTGTTTATGACACAGAAAAGTTTAAATTATTTTGTCATAGCCATGGTGCCCCCCCATTTATTTGATTTTATTTCTGCTTGTATGACCAGTTCCCGACATACAAGAGTGAGAAAACAATTAAATGAGAAGCGAACAGTCGCTCTTATTCTTCAACTTTGTTTTGGCTTGTCACAAAAGTGTTCATTTTCTCAGGTTGACAATGGTATTCTGTTAAGATTTTCCCATTGTACTAATCAAGGTTTGAACACCCAGCGTGTAATTGGTACCAGTACTTGTAGCATGACTGTTGATAGAGATCTTCAGAAATTTTCATCTTCTAATATAACCAATGTCATTAGAGCTTTGGATGATGCCATTAAAAATAGAAAATTAGTATTATTAATGATTCATGATTATACAACTATACATTCTACAAGAAGGCCTAAAGATCTTAAGACCTCCCAAGCTAATAATATGTGTACTATAATTTTTGAAGTATTTCCAGATATTAGAGCCATTACTCGTCCACCACCTCAATTTATACACAACAAGGATGGAATAAAACCTCATGGAAGCTCTAAATAGAGTGTTGAACCTACACAAGTTGAAGGAATATTTATCAAAATTCGTTGTACTTTTTCCTGGTGACCACCCTAGCCAGTTCTACCCCAGACAAATAATATATGAAACACTGTGTAAATATATAGCTAACATTACATCTAAGAATCAGTACCACATGAAGAGCTCCTTTCTCTTGTTCCTTTAATTGGACCATTGCACATTGACTTGAATGCAGATGAAGATTTAGTGTTAAATTACCATCCTTTTGTTAAATCTTTGTATGAGTCATTATTTCCAAGCAGAATTCTGGCAGAGAAGCCAAAGCCTTGGAGGATACAATTCATCCTAGAAATAATATATGGTGGATGGACTCTAATTAGAAGAACTGTTAAAGCTGTTTTCAGTAATTGCAAAGATCTACATACAGTATGGTACTCTATTAAATTTCTTAGATAATTATTGCTCCACAGTGTTATGTTCATATAGTATTCTATTTAAAACTAATGATTTTTCCAATTATTATGATTCAATTATAAGAATGTGGGTCATGATGTACTGTTTTAGACGACACCATTATAATAAATCTGTATTAATTTGGTTGTTTCTGGTGAAATACTGGGAAGGTAATGAATTTTGTACAGATATATTTAATCTTTTCAATAATCATTCAAATATTATTGATGAGTCAGTCGTAGAATATGTTCACTCTGTTATTCGAAGACATACAAAAGATGGCGCAAGTGAGAAAACTTTGGCTGATACTATGAAAGCGATCTTTGGTTGTGGTCTACGCCAGGAGAATTTCCGTTCAACTTTCACTCCAGCACGAAATTATGTATTTAGTCGTGTTCAACTGAAGTACTTGCATACTAGAGTGGCTAAAATTTTAGTTTCTATTTTTTCAAAAATTTGTTCCAGTCCAGGTGAATCGTATTTACTTCCAAAATCCAAAGGACAACCACGGGACTGCACAATGTTCATCCTTCCAACTTTATTTGGTGAGAAACCAGTGAAAAGTTACATGTTGCCACTGGGTTTTCAGTGTGAGAAGAAGCCAGACATAAACAGTCGATGTGACTACATCTGTGTGGCACCGGAAGATGCCGACTGGCAGATTTTTGAAGGGTGCTGGCATTCCTTTCACAAAGAATGTTTGAAAGATTTAACCTATTGCCCCATCTGTTCTAATCATCTAAATAATGTTATTTATCATTGTCTATAGCAGCTAACTCCTCTTTTGTAAATGGAGGAAATCAAGATAACCTAGGTGTTGATGTGCAAACATCAGACTCAGATTCTGATGATGATAGTAATGAATTGGAATGTGATAATTTGGGTATTAATACCAATGAATCTAATATTGAAAATACGCTAAATAATATCAACTTATCGCTAATGCAATTAAGGCCTCAGTCGCCTAGTAATACTTCTGTAAATAGTAATGAACAGTGTGATGTTGATTCATCCACTTTATTAACGAACGTACAAACAAGTAAGAGATCTCCACATTGTTGAACATGCCATCATACAAGAAACGGGCATGGCAAGGGATCTTCTAATGCTAAATGCACTATGTGTCCAGATAATATATGCTCAGCTAGTGGACGTAGTAAGCCATGTATATGTCATTGGCACATATCTCAACAAAATTCTATGGAGACAATTATACCATATTCTGTTGTTAAATTTACTAATGTCAATTATGTTAATGAATATCTTCTATCTTTTTGTCAGTCCAACATGGACAGTCAATCATTGGGAAGTAATGCATGTACAATTATTGCTGTGTTAGTTGCTATTAACTTCCTTTCTGATACTGCATGGTTTTCACAACACCACCTCCTCTCAACATTGGATTCCATTTTCCTTGCCTACAGCTACCAACTGTTCACTGAGGGAAACCAGATGTACGAGAGAGAGCCTTGATGAGGAACAAATTAATTATTGTGCACCTGAAATTCTTGAGCATCCAGAACTTGGCTTGATAGACAATGCTGAGGAGAAGAATATCAGTTCAACAATTTTGCAGACTTTTTGTTAGAATTACAAATGTTATCTACAAAAAGAATTAAATTAGCTTTTGTACTAATTTTTCATCCTGATAAATCAATGTCATTATTAATTAATGAAGTTGGTGAAAGTATGTTAATAGATAGTCACTCACATTTAGATACTGGTGCTATTATTGTTACCGCTTCAGAAAATAAACTACACTGTATGGTCAATTATATTCAAGAAATGATTCTTCGAGACTGGGGGAATACAGTTCAGCCACCATTTGACGTGACTACTGTAAAACTTAAGGCATGCTAGTAAATCTAAATCATCCCTATTGATAATACTTTGCTAGACAAAATGGCTATTAATGATTTATTAATAAACCAACTGGGGGGGGGGGGTACCCATGCAGGTCTAATATATTAGTTAATTAATGTTCGAGTTAATGTATAATCAAATCATTGTGGCTTTTATCTATTATAAATGTATTTACTACCATTCAATAAATTTGGTAAAATACATCTAATACACTTTCCCTTTAAAAAATTAAATTGTCTGGCATGACAAAAGCAAAGTAGGGCACACTTTAGTATTTTCCACTTAAAAAATCAATCAATTTATGGATTTAAGCAGCAATGGTTGGATGCTTTTAGTGAAATGTTTAATAGGTCAAATGTGCATTATTAGTAAGGGAACTGTCAAGTCCAATACCCTTCGAAAAAGGTGGGGACGATTTAGTGTATTGTAGGCCATCCCTGTTTAGAAGGCGCAGAATGCAAGAACTTTCATATGACAAGATATTCCCTTGTCATGGGCACACCCAAACATGTACAGTATGACTCAGATGTCATACATGATAGTATAATTTTATTACTAGGTCTAGGTTAAATTGGGTAGGTCAAATAAAATATTTTGGACAAACAGTTTCATGCTAAAAATGCGGTTATGATGTTCAAATAAACAATAGCTCTGAAGGATTATACAAATCTACTGTATGCCAACATAGCTTACTGAATACTGATAGCTATTAAAAGGGCATTGATATGAGTTTATGTACTAAGTTTTAACATAGCCTATATATAGGTCTGGGTAGGTCAATTATCTGTTGGAATGCACTTGATTTGCATGCCTGTCTAGCAATTGTTTATTTTCTTTGGTAATTACAAAACTTATAAAATAGTGTTTAGTATTTAGATTGTGTATAGGCTAGTTAAAAATGACATGGTTATAAATTGCTTGCTTGAATGCATGCGTGGACAAAACTACAGTATAAGCTTAAAATGTTATAAAAAACGTTTAGTAAGTTTAGTATAGTCTAAAAAGCAAGTGATGTAACCGTGTCATTTAAAAACAAAAATGAGGTTTAGCTGGGTTGAGTTCCACCGATGGCCCCGGCTGGGTCCGGTACGAGGTTCTTTTAACCTTTTTAAACCTCACCTGTACTTAGTTAGGGGTTCAAAATAAAAAGAAAAAAAAGTTTATTTTCTTCATGTACAAAACAAATTTTGAAACGTAGCGCGGCAAAATGACTACATACGAAAAGTATACTAGCTTCTACTGTTTGAAAACATTCGAAAATATCTTTTCGAAGCTCTTTGTCGTCAACTATTCGAATGAACATTAAATTATAAGTAAAGAATGTCCAAGTTTAATGCCAAACAACAGATGCAATGCAAGGTCGGTGAGGAAACTAAATACATTTTTGCAAACATTGCAACATAAACAACTGGGCCAGGAAGCCTTTTCCCGTAACTCGGCCCGGTTTGTTTACAAGCAAGCAAACTCGCTCAAGTTTCAATCTTGTATTTCATTCGCAATTTTCATCCCCCAGGGAATTATACTCAAATGAATTATTGATCAAAAACTTGCTGGCCTCTGTCCTCAAACTCTCGAGCAAATAATATTTATGTTAGGTCAAACTTCTTGCCAAATTTCAATCAAATCAAAAGTTTTCATTGAATAGAGCGACGAAGAAACAAAGTCAGGTCACAATTCCTACAAAGTATTATCTCTGAAAACCGACCCGCGCAACTCAAAACAGCCTCGTGCTTGAGGTGCAAGGTCGATCAAATAACAAAAGGCATTTTTTGAATCAATACAGCATGATTTCAATATGTATCAAGGGAAATCCCGTAACTCGAGCTCTTTACATTTGTGTAGCCGTTTTAATGCAATTGACTCAATTACGAAATAACCTTTATTTCCAACATGTATTATGTGAACAAAAGCTGCTTACTTTTATTGCAAATATTCATATGTCATGATAGTATATAATTAAAATACGTTACCTTAGTAGGTTGAATATCTGAAATACTGACTTGATCAACAGCATACAAATCTTTAAAAATGGCCATAGTTGAACCATATACATGCTTCTTGCTTGCTCTTGTTCAGAAAACCGCACCAATTAAGTAAGACTCTCAATTTCCTGTATTACTAGCTCTTATATCTCACTCTGGATTCATTGAACTGCTCGCATTCCCAAAAAATATTATATGCTGAGTTGGCTGTCTTAATCATTTGCTTTCGGTGAGAAAAACAACAAAACAATAAGTCTTTCATCAATAATTCTCACTGGCTTGGATACGTGTTTCAACGTCTCAAAACAAATCGCGATCAAAACGTTGAAAAACTCGATACAAAGTCTCAAAACTTTTGTCCATAGCATATATCAACAATCCTTGCCTCCGTTTACGTTGAATTCAGAACAAACACAAGAACATTTTGTTTGTAAATGCTATTTGTGTTGTGTGTATTAAATGTCGCACGCTCTTTCGAGCCTTTGGACCGGAAGTAAATCTTATCAATGGAAAACTGTTGAAAAAACTGACCAATCAGACAAAAGTTACCTTTGTTGGCTGCGACACAACCACTTTTCATTTGGATAATGTTGCCAGTTTCTTTCAGGAATTTGTTGAAAATGAACATTTTTTTGTGTTCTGCATAAATGATTACCATAACGTTCACACATATCGTCCTGAAACAAAAACACAAACAGTTCATATGAGCATGTTGTTAGTAAAAGTGTTCCCAAATTTTAAAGCCATCTCAAACAAAGGTCTTCACACACCTTTGTTACCTCCCACTCCAGCCTAAACAATTGTCTCAACAAATTTTTAGCAATATGGCTGGTCTACCATAGAGTTATGCCACAAACATGCCAGATTGGGTGCTAGCCAAGTACTGAAGCTGAACCACAACAACTCCTGTTACATGACTACCAGCAAAAAAAATACAGAAAATGAGATTATGGAAAACACCAAATTGATTGACCGCCACCATTTGCCTTTGAAATCATATGAAGATCTCCTTACTGTATTTAAGCACATGCTTTCCATATGTTTGGAAATCTACAATCCGGGCCAAAACTCATGTGGACACTTAATCCACTTTTGCAAAAATCATAACAAACACCTAAAACTTGAATTTACTTGCACATCCCCCACTCCCCCTCTTCAATGTTGCATATCCGACTTAACCACACTCTTCGTATTTGATGAAAAATCCCATTCAACATTGGCTTGGGGGAGCGGGGCGATAATTATTTAGAAAAACACCATTCGGGGCCAAATTCTGTGGGTTGTCCACAACGTTTTGTCCAGGATTGTCTGAAAAATGATGGGCATGGCGAAGCGCTGTTTTATCACTTGTTATTTAACATTTGACATGTCTGATTAGCCTATAATGCATACCTATGTATTCTAAGTTTTTGTTACACAGTTTGATCGCTGATGACGTCACTATTAGCAATTACGTCACTTCCAGATGTTGTAAATATAACCTAATTTTGCAAAGCGTGCGTAAAACCAACTATACTGAATAGGTCCGAGCATAACTTTTTCTCAATCTTATACATGAAAGGTACACAGACTTTACTGTTCAGATACATAGCCAAGGAGCGCATTTAGGCTTTAACAGGAGAGAAATTGACGGTGCAGAAAATATTCAGTGTCATATTTACGGAGATTCAGTATGATTCCAGAACGTCTCAAGCTATGTAGCAATTACCTTATTCCATGGAATAAATTATTGTACTTTTGCATATTTACTGATTTTAATGACCCTTGTAGTTTTGAACAGCCTATATTTTTATACACAGCCCTAATATATTACTCGCCAATGACAAGAACCTTGCAATATCAAACTGGAAAAGCTTCAGTACTCAAAATGAAATATATCATGTTAACCTTTTTCGCCATTTGAAAAGCAATATAATTTGACATTGAGGATTCTTAGTATTTCCAAAGATAAGTGTCTATCATAAACTTGTACGTGAACTCGATGCAACTACAGCCATTAAATACATACAATACTTGTAAATATTATATTACAATTGGCGTTTGTCAAATAATGAAATATTGCCTTACACTTTTCAATACTGTTCGCCGACTAGCACGCCAGCACGGTCTACAGTAACTTCGGACTTGAATTATACACAATTGCTGCATTGAAATGTAACGATTTCTTCTTAGGGAACTACCTATACATATTATACTTGTTTTTAAAATGTTTTTGTAATTTACACAGTAGAGAAATAAAAAGTTACCACGGTCTACATATTAAAAGTAGCTCTTTGAATATAATAGATCATAGCTCATTAGTATTAATGAAAATACGATTTTTGTGTGTAGACTGTGGCGATTTTTAAGGCATAGCTGATTTTATATGTTTTGCTGCATACTGGTACAAAACGTAATTGGACAAGCCTTTTAATCTATATTTTTAATCGATTGCGCGCTTATATACTTCTAAAATCACTCAAAAAAAAAGTGTAGACCATGTTTCGAGCTTTGAATATTATGTTACACATTACGTCACTCGATCGGAAAGTATAACATATCAACTTAACAATTATAGCAAAGCCCTGTAACTTAATAAATAATTCAGATGTTTAGTTCCTGCCTTAAATCATGTATAGTTTTCTGTCAAGCATTGTATTCAGCAAGTTTTAGATGCACCTTGAAATTGCACTGTCAGAAGGAAGCTGTAATATATGGTTAAAACAGACAAACGTACTAGCATATATCGTAGGTAGCAACACTTGCAGTTAACGAAATATAATACTTGTATGAAAAATGCCAATTTAGTTGTATAAATTTGATTCTCAAGCACTTCAAGAATACATAAACAAACTTGGAACTATATATATTCCTGTCATTCTCGTCACATAATTATTCCTAAAAATTAGGCTCGTGGGCACGTTTTTTGGTTAGGAAATCTGTTCCTTACCGGATAATTTTTTTTCAAAAGATGATCAGAAATGGATTATTTAGATGCAAACAAGCGCAATTTTACTTACAAAGCATCTTTTTTTCCGTTTTGTGTCATATTAGATACAAGAACCGTCTATTATTTTCTATAGTGATTTTCAGACAATCCGGGCCAAAATTCATGTGGACACTTAATGCACTTTTGCAAAAATCATAACAAACACCTAAAACTTGAATTTACTTGCACATCCCCCACTCCCCTCTTCAATGTTGCATATCCGACTTAACCACACTCTTCATATTTGATGAAAAATCCCATTCAACATTGGCTTGGGGGAGCGGGGGGATAATTATTTAGAAAAACACCATTCAAGGCCAAATTCTGTGGGTTGTCCACAATGTTTTGTCCAGGATTGTACCTCAGCAATTTTCTGGCTCCATTTATGGGGACTGGCATACACAGTTCTTCATGTGGCAACTGGTTTATAATTTGGCTCAAGTTTCCTTACCTTACCATTTGTCAGAATGTTGTGCCACTGACCATATTATATATATAGACCATATTATACTGTATATATGACATATCTATAGTCCCCTTGCATATTTCCTAATTTCCTTTTCTATCCCATCTTTGCACAGCTGTATTCCCTCCTGTTTAGAAAAAAAGGCAAAATTAGCAAAGAACGTCATATACGGTGGCTGGGACGGTCGAGGTCATATACGGTGGCTGGACAGTTGTTTGAGAAAGCATTCTGTCAGTTTTCTGCCACTGTAAAGAAACTGAGTTTCTTACACTGAGTTTCTTACCCTCGTCAACCTTGTTCATAATTATGTGCCACTCATGTTAAGCATCTATTCTATCATGTTTAAATGTAATGACTATTATTTGTATTGCAAGGCTATGTTGCACTGTTGGGTTATGTTCATTGTGTTCCAAAGGTGTCATTATGACAAGGCGCTGTTGGTAGTTCTGTCTACATTCACTTTTTGGCAAGTGAACAACCAGGATGGTTGTACCACACACTTCGTCAAGCATTGGTTACCTTTGAGTACCCGGTTAAAAATTTCCACTGTGTACTGCAGGCAAAAACAAATGCATGCCACTGACAATGCTGAGCAAATCAATCTAAAGGCAAAAGAAACTGATGCATGTAAACAAGAACTACATTAATTTAAGTCAATGTTTGTGCCACCAAAGAAGTTCAATTTCAGCAAGAAAACTATAACAAAATTGAAAGTCAAGGCTGCTGAGTTTTTAACCAAAAAGTTTGGAGTGCTACACAACAATCCTGACCAAGCTGTATTACTGCCAAGAGTCCAAGGTCAAAAGAGGAATACAACAAAGTGACTAATTATGAAACTTGTTTGGAAAGAAGAGTTTTACTATTGGGATTCACATCCATCGAAAAGACCTCCTAACCCGGCAATGTAAGTTCAGTACAAAACTATTTCAAGCCTCAAAGGTTTAGTCTCTGCTTTAGTAAATAGCTTTTTACTCCATGATAATAAAAAAATGATTACATTTATTACAATTGTATAACACATTAAAGGCACAACTGACAACAGGGAGAAAAAATCTATTTACCAAAGCAGCTAAATATCCTGTAAACTGTAGTAAGATAAATATGAATCATAAAATATTGTTGGGTGGCTGAACCATGTTGCCAAGAAGCAATTCTTGAGTTGAGGCCTCCAATGATGCATTCATTGTTAGTGGATTGCTTATTATTGAAGTCATGATCGATGTCTTCGTGATCACTCAACTGGTGTCCTCATCATTGTTATTTGTTTGAGCAGAAGATGCCATGGTGAAATTTATGACTGTGCTGTTTGCTGTTTTGCCCAAATTCATCACTTTTGATTCGAGAAGGGATTCACAAACAGGACATACACTACACTGATATCTGGGAGGTTACATTCAAGGTCGAAAGAGTGTCCACAGCCTCAAAAAATGCACCACAATAGACCAACTCGGTCGCATTTGATCTTGTCACATTTAAATTACTGTTCCAATGGAAATTATAAAGGAACCATTAAACTATGATATTGTGAGTCCTATTTTATTGTTTTTAAATGTCCTACATCAGCAAATATAGTCATTATCCCTTTTGGTCATATGTAAATGACCATTCGCCACCTGATCGGAAATTCGAAAATGTTTCTTTCCTGAGTGGCTGAACCATCAGAACTATAAAAATATTTCCGCTTATATGCATACTCTTTTACTTTCTTTGTATGTCCACATAATATGACATGTTATGTCTATTTTTGGCCATTTATATTTTTACATGCACACAGGTGTCTCCTTGCGTGCGCTGTTGTTCGTATGCCGGTAATTTTAAAACTATACCATCAACACAAATTCCGAAAATTATATATATTACTTGATCCAGTTGCATAAAACAAATAAAAATCCTGACCCCAGGCTTTATTCAAAACCCTATTCTTCGCATTGAGATTTATGTTTTATCCAGATCGAAGTAAACAACATTTACACATTAGGATTGGCTTAGAGCCAAAACATAAACAAATGTGCTGATTGGTATAAAACAAAATTTGCTCTTGTTGGTCTGTGATGGTGCACATTGGCTACCTCCTTGCCTTTTTCATCTATTGCATAAAGCTTGTTGGTAAGCCAAGCGATTGGCGATAACATGTTGGCTGTCTCCTTGTCTTTCTTGTTTAAATAAAGAGCTCTGACAAGTCAAGATATTTTCTTTTGTCTTCCAAGTTATTTTCTTTGTAAATGCCATACAACAGATTTTGTCAATATTCATGTCTGAAATGTTTATATATTTGAAAACAACACTGTCTCGCTCCTTCCTGGCTCTGTATAATGAATATACCATCGAAATAATATCGGCACTTGATTGAATGCCTAGAATATCAAAGATTTTCTCAATAATTACATCTGAAATATTTATACATTTGAAAAAAAGCTCTGTCTAGCTCCTTCCTAGCTCTGTATAATGACTATGTCTAAATAATATCGGTGTACTAATTGTTCTGGCTCCCGGAATCCTTGCAAACAGGTGTAATTAGTCAGTTGGGTACATAGTTCATAGATTATTAAAGTTAGTACATTTTGTCAACAAGAAAGGGATCTTTTACAACAATGTGACAAGTTTATTCGGCACAATAGGTCCATTTAACAACGCAGAGGAGATGTGGGCACCGTACGTCAAACATTTGGAACAATACTTCATTGCAAACAACATGGAAAATGAAAAAAAGCAGCGTTCGATTTTCTTGGTGTATCTGGCCCCAAAACGTATGCTCTACTACAAGATTTACTTCAGCCCAAGAAACAGAGTGCAACAGAATTAAAGGAGATTGTGGAGACATTGGAAGGGCATTTTATGCCTACACTAAATGTGAAGGTGAAAGTATTACAGGATATGTAGCAGAATTATGCAAGCTGTCAGAATATTGTAATTTTGGTGAGACTGGAGGACATGATATGCACGATCAGTTTATGTGTGGTGTGAATAATCAAACTAACACATAAAAAAAGCAGTGGAGATAGCTGTAGCCCTCAAGTCCTCAGCAAAATATTTAAGTGTGAAAAACATCAAAGATTGGCCACTATTGAACGTAAACAAAGTTAATGAGGCCCAAACATCGCAGCAACAAAGAGATATGGACAGGCAAAATTATTGACATGTTCTGGGGAAAACATCAAACATTCATGCTGTTTTCGTGAATCACAATGTTTTAATTCTCAGAAATTGGGCCACATTGCCAAGGTATGCCACAGTCAAACAGCTGATCAACAGCAACACCCTGGAAGTGTATGGACCAGAAGAAGAGATGTAAAACAGGAAACACATCTGGTAAACAGAAGGCACAAGAAGATGACAAAAATCACAAAGTACTGAGGATAAGGCATAAAAAATACATGAAAAAATTCAAGATTCAGTGGCGGCTCACAGGACAAATGGGCAGTTCAGTAAAAATTGAAGTAGAAATTGCAGGAAAACTAGTCACTATGATCATAGATGACACAGGTGCAACAAAAACAATAGTAAATGGCGCAACTTAGAATTCATTAAGAGGAGTTTTGCCACCACTGCTTTCTTCCTCTGCAGTGCTTACTAAATATACAGGATCTAACACAAAAAATTTTTTGTGAACTTGAAATTGCCTAAATTAGCCTTCAAAGCAACCAACTAAGTACAATAAATCACTACAAACATAAATCGAATACACCCCCTGTAAAGTTTACACTGTGACAGACAGACAGACAGGCAGGCAGACAGACAGACAGAACGAATGGTTTGTTTGGATTTTCCAACTCATCACAATACTGTAAAGTTTCAAAGAAAATTTACACTAGGACCTAACTATGAAAATATTATCATTTGCCACCGTGGCTAGGCATATTTTTCAAGCTTGCCCAGTGTGTTTCGCTGCCATCTTGGAAAAAAATTTCAAAAATTGTCTCCAAGGTCAATGAATTTTGTGACGTCATTGGATGGGTAGCACCAAAACTACAAGAGAGAATTCTATTGTGTGCGTGTTATGTTAGCTAAAAATATGTTGTTTTGAGCATTATACTGGCCAACACTCTTCACAATCAAACAAGAGAAGTCTACACTATCAGAACATATCAAACGACTGGAAAAGCAAGAAATGCAGATACTATTAAACTTTGTAACAAAGCTTGAAGTTCAGGTTTTTCCTCCACTGACTTTCTTTTACTTGCTTTATTTAATTTTGACACAACATAGTCTGCAATGTATGAAAGAGCTCCATGTTCACCAGGCTGAATTTTGAAGTCTGTAGATTCCAATGTTTTTTTCTCCCACAGTCCCACTAGCCCAACGTTACAAAATCTAACTAAATGATCTGGAATATGGTTCATAACTGGGCTATCAACTCATGAATTGCTGCAATTTAAAAGTGTTGACGAATTCAGCATCAATACATAAAATGACTCAAGCAGTTTATCTTGGTAACTGTTTTGGCAAAAATTTTATTTGGAGGCAAGACTTCCTTTAACAATGCTTCAGTCGCTGAAATGTTGTTTACAATGCTGTTGATTTCATCTCCGTAAAGCTTTTTTCTACGATAATATTTCTTTTAATTGTGTCCACAATCAACTTTATTGTGTCAAAACAAACAGGTGTAATGTTACACCATCTTTCGATTACATATTTTGCTACAGTTTGAGCAAAGGAATACTTTTGAATTGGCAAATTTATTTTTGACTTCTTGATAGGCCGTTTCTACAATGTCGACAGCAATATGCTCGAAAGAGCTCTCGTCTTGCTCAGGCCTTAAAATATTGTCGTCTGACAAAATGTCCGATGACTCTGAGATTGGGTCGGACATGTATGATTTTGTCCAATGACCTTCAATTCAGTTTGGCTCGGAAATAAGTCTGAATGACACACATTAATATCAGCACAATGTATTAATTTTGAACGGTAAATGTTGTTAAGATATTAATTAATTTGTGTCATTCATACTTATTTCCAAGCCAAAATTAACTTGCTTGCCAAGAACAGCAGTAAGAGTTCGACAAGTTAAGCCCGTTTTCCACTTCACCATTTCGCTCGCTTCCCCGTCCTCGATTACATTAAAACAACATTTCCAATTCACATTTTATACATTACTCTGATTCTCCATTTACCATACGACCCTCTAGTCCTGGACTAGGGTACATTTTGATTTGTGTTGGACAAAGCTACAGTTCGGTCGGACACCAATACATTTGGGTCGGACAAACAATAAACCTCAGTTTCACTTAGGTCGGACAGAATGTCCAGTGGTTTCCTCTTTACGTCGGACAATTTCACGAATGGGTCGGACAATGTTTGTGACCGACCGATATTCTAAGGCCTGCTTGCTCATACCTTGTCAAAAGCGGTGGAACAATATTGCATCTTCTATGCAAAGTTTCCCCAAATCTTTGCGCAAAATTTGCCTTACAGCATGTTCTTCTTGCCTTTGCTTTTCGAAATCCATAGCAATCAGATTTTAGCGGTTTTTAGCAATGAAATATGTATAAAATTACAGAAAGCCTTATCGCTTCACTATTGTTTACCACCCTGCTTTGAAGTTTGCAGGCTATCCAAACCATCCTATTTCTATTAACTGTGGTGGCATCAATCAATTCCTTTGTGTCCATTGCGATGATGAAGTCCATGCCTTTTCTTAACCGTGAAATCTGGTTTGATGGATACTTTCAACATATTCTTCCAACTGAAACAATATCAGAAGAGAAAGAAATTATTCATTTTGGTATGTTATTATATTATATCAAGAAATATATATATATATATATATATATATATGTGCGTGTGTGTGTGTATATGTATGTGTATGTATATATATGTATATATATGTATATATATATGTATGTTTTTCGTTATACAATGCTGATCAATAGTACAAAAATAGGCACTCAAAGAGTACGTAAGGATTTGCAATTTTATTGTCAATTTTTTAATGCAAGAGAAAGATTGAAAAATATCAGTTCATAATGTAAGAACGATGGAAAAATATCGCCCAAAATGTAGTATAACAAAACACAACATCATGCATGACAAATCTTTTCTTCGAATGTATTCAAAGTTAATCTACTACAACTTTTAAATGGCTTTATCACTGCCTCAAAGATAAAAGAATAACTGAATTTGTAGAAATGTTGAAGATATTTTATAATTTACCTTTTGGATAAAAAAAAACAACGAAATAATTTCGATGTTTTCGCATTCCGCAACAGGCAGTACATTAATAATTAATTTCTAATAAATACGAATGAAAAATATACAGTTTTTATAGTGGAAACACCGCTTTTGATTTTATTTTATATGGCCGCTCCTGAGTTGAACGAATTTGTCTTTTAGGACCTTTTTCATTTGTATTTCTAACACAAAACAGTCATATATTCATTTGTTTAGCTGAAAGTAAGTGGTAAAATGTTTAGTCGTTGGCGTATTCTACGAAAATGAGCGGGTTTTTGCCCAAAAGATTGCGAATATCGACAAACACAAATGGCGGATAATACCTTCAGGTGGTTCACAAATACTCGACTTGGAACTCAATGTCACTAATGTGTTACTATCTATCTATCTATCTTACACACCCGATGACATAAAGGATTTTGCTTCGCAAATCCTTAAAAATTTAGCATATATGTGTGTAATAAAAGACTGCTTTTGGTTCACAAGCATACTATGTATACATGGTACAATCCCTTATGAAAATTTCCTATAGGAATTCCTAATGGTAAATACTCAAAATAATTACAATATGTCCATGACCTTACTCAAAAATTTAGATTAAATCGCATAATGCACAACTTGCAATTTGCTACACTCACTCGTTAGCAATATTGTCTTCAACACTCAAAATAAATTACATATTTCCGCACAATCATGCATAAATATTCTGTATATATTCCAATTTATGTTTAATTTGTCAAGTGGTAGGCAAGATATTAGTCCTTTTGATTTTTTTATTCAGTGTCTTGACTCTTCCGATCTGTGATAGGAACTTGAGAAAATGACAGTTGCAACTTGCATGTTTTGATTGCAATTTGCTCCGAGCAATTTTCCAGTGAATTCATTTTTTAAAATTTTACCTGGAATATTAACACTCAGTCATTTGGCAGTTAAGAAGTGAAGCCTCGTGCACAGAGTAACATACAGAGGCTTATCTCAGCGAGAAAACCGTAAGGTGTTTTTTGGCCGCCATGTTCTTAGCCAGCACCTGCACATGCACAGTATACGTAAAAAGGTGGCTTCTCTTTACTGGACTGGCTAAGAACATGGCGCATTTTTCCAAAAAGTCCCTTAAGCTAAATTAACCTGAAGTGAGACCTCTGTATGTATTTACTCTGTGCGTTACGCGAGCAGTGGCATCAGCCCTTTCCATGTCTTTTATCTGGAACGATAAGATGCAGGGAGAGAAACATGAAGCTAATGCCCAATGTCACTTGATGCATGCTGATTTGTAATAGACCCCACAGTGATGGCATATAAGGTGACTGAAAATAACATACTGTATTATATGGTGTGGCAATGGACCACACAATGACTGTGTATAAAGGGACTGAAACTGATGTACTATTTGGCATGGAGAGTTGATGCCACTGCTCACACACACATTGCTAATGCAAGGCTTCACTTTTCAACTGCTAAATGACTGAATGTTATTGCGTTCCAGGTAAATAGATTGAGTTCACTAGATTGCAGCCCTCCATGCCACATAGTATGTCAGTTTCAGTCCCTGTATATGCCATCACCGTGTGGTCCATTGCCACACTATATAGTATGTCAGTTTCAGTCCCCTTATACGCCATCACCACATGGTCTGTCATGAATCAGTGCATGTGAGCACGCTGGTGTTAGCATGAAGTGGTGTTGCTTCATGTTTCTCCCGCATGTTATCATTCCAAATAAAAGACATAGAGTTCACTGCAAGATCAATTGCAATGTTGCAAAACTCATGGGAACAGAACATCTGGTTTGACTGTAATACTCAATGTCACTTCCAGTAACTTTTAATAAACAACCATGAAGATGAGGATTGTGTTTTAAAATGCACTGAATATCACAAATATGTAAAATTCCTAATTGTTACATGTGCACTTTAAATTTAAATTGACTGCATTCATGTACTAAAACTTTACTTTGCCAACTTTGAGTTTTTATAAGTGAAAGAGTACGAAAGTTTATTGCTTTGATTTTTATATATTATGTATTCATTGATGTTTTGGTGCCCCCCCCCCTCAAAATTTAATTTTCCTGAGGTGACCCCCCTTTCACATCACTATTTTTTCTGGTGGCCCCTCCTGCAAAAACCACACACCCCCCCCCCATCCTTATAAAAAATGAACGGTCCCTTAGGTGTTATTATCAGCAGTGACCTAAAGTGGAATTGCCTTGAGTACATTGTTAAAAAAGTCACTAAGAAGTTGTGTTCTTTAAGGATTTTGTGAAGAGCTGGAGTCAACCAAAGTAATATGCTAAAAGTATATCTAAGTACAGTACAACCGGTGCTGGAATATGCTGTTCCTGTGTGGCAGGGTATACCAGATGATTTGTCTGATGCAATGGAATTTAATTATTTAAATTAACCCAGAGACTGAGTCATATTCAGAGGTTCTTAATTGGTCACAACTTCTAACCTTAAAGACAAGAAAACAGTAGTGTGTAAAATATATTATTCTGTATCTATATTGTGTAAATACCTACATTTGATTAGTTTTTATTGTAGTGTATTTAGCTCTCTATTTCAGTTATTGTAACTGCGAGAGTTTTTAATAATAATAATAATCTTTATTCATGAATACTTAAATTACACGTTAGCCAGAGGTTTTAATAATAAAAAAATAATAAAAATTGTTGTTCACCATCCTAGAAAAAGTAACCCATCACTACCAGTTGCAGAAATGATCACAAATGATCAAAGTACATATGGTATACACACTTTTCTGGAGCAATTTCGAAGAGATGAAGGTTTGGTATTCAAAGACAATGTAACAATTCCAAGGCAACTTAATTCAGAATAATTGAAAGCTATTATTCTTGCAGCTTTGAAGGAGTTTAATGGAGAAACACACAATGCATTTCTTGCCAGAGCCTTTAAAATGCTACAGAAGCAAAACGTGTCGGCAGGAGCCCACAAGAAATTTTAACGCGGCCAACATACAGAAACGTAATTACTAGCCTTCACGGCACAATATGAAGGCAAAATGTAATTGTCCCACGATATGGTACGTTTTCCATAATTTTGATCCTCTATCTGCCTGACTAAGAGGAGTTAAAAGTTTTTTAATGAATTCTTCACAAACATCGGTCCTAAGCTTGCTCAAACAATCGAGCATGACAGTGATAGTAAATTTGGAGATTTTATTACCAAGCGAGAACCAGCTAGTAAATTTTCTTTTGAGGCTGTAAATGAATTTACAGTTTACAGGCTTATCACAAAATTACCCATTTTGAATGCTACAGGTGTTGACAAAATTTCTACAAAAGTTGCAGCTCCTGCTGTTGCACAACCATTGACAAAAATTTTCAACAAATCAATTATCCAACCTCGTTCCTAGGCTCTTTCCTCTTTAGGAGGAAAGACCCTGGTCAGGACTGGTGACATGACCCATGAAAATTGATGGCCTAAGAGGGGGGGATGGAAAAGTCTCGTATTACACGTTTTACACTTCCGCACTTCGATTGCATTTGAGAATCATATATACTTCAAAATACTTGCTATAATGGTTTTTGTTTGCTTTTAAATTATACAAACATGCTAAAATGCAAATTCTTATAGGAACAGACAAGTCAAGAAATCAAGCAATCAAAACATATGATTGTATGCAGGGGCGGATCCAGGTTTTTTGATGACTAGTTTACTAGGTCCACACAACCACTAGGGGGGTCCGGGGGCATGCTCCCCCTTGAAATTTTTAAAATATGGGCCTCTGAAATAGCATTTCCTGCGTTCTGGCGTCACTTTTTAAATTAATTTAATGGTTAGAAAATACATGCTTTTAAGATAACTTTGGACTGATGCGTATGCAGCTCAAACAATGAGTGATAAAAATATTGGATTGGCAAGTTGCTGACGCATCGATATTTATTTATTTTATTACAAGTACAACAAGTAGAGATGCTATAAACATAGCTGGTAATCTTATAGTTGTATTGTAATGTTGTAATCTATACACTTTCAAACCAACTTTAACAATGAAATAGAAACCAAACTGCAAGAGCGTGAAAGTGTCACAATCATTTCCGGTTTCTCTATTGCGAACGCAATGATTTGGTCATGTAATATTAGCTCATCAAGCGGCAATGCGCCCTGAGATTGGCAAGGGGGTAAGCGGCAATGCGCCCGAATGCATGCTAACATGACACCTTAACTTGCGGGCATGATATTTGAGCATGTATTTATCGGGTTGCCTAGCAACGGATACGAAAATAGAACATGAAATTCGAGCTTTTCAATGGTGTATCATGCAAGAGAACCGGCCAAAAACTTTCAAGTTTAAAACCTTAGTTTTTCAAAAATGAACAATGGCGATACTGTTGCAAAGAAGGATTTTACAGCAAGTTTTAAAAGCGAAGAAAGAAGAGGTTTTTGAATCATCTACAACGAAAATTTGGCATGAAAGGAAAGCAAATGTATTGACGTTTTGG